TAGGCAGAGGTAACGATTCTCCGGATGAATTACCGATTTTACTCACGGATGAGGAAGAAGAAGAAGAAGAGGAACGACATCCGACTGATAGTAGAGTAGGTCCTCCTCCTCCAGAACCTGTCAAAGATGAGCCTGTTTATCCATCTGTAACTGCTAACATAGAAGAAAAACAACCTACTGATCCAGACACTGGCGGCAGTGCACCTAGAAATGTTCGTTCGGCTAAAGTTACGCCGATCAGATTAAAATTGACACGCTGCCAAGAAGGCTATGAGCTAAAGGGCTCGCCTGTTCACGGTGAGGAGTCCAATTTAATGACGGAGAAACCACAAAGTCCGGAAGTTCCAAATGAAATAAGAAATCCACCGATCAAAAACCAAGAAGAAGAATCCTCTCGAGAGGAGGAAGATGAAGAAGAGGAAGAGAATAATAGTTCTATACAAAGGGACTCCTCTACATGTCCTGCCGCGACAAATATACCGCAAGGATGCCAAGTTAGGTGATAATTAATGATACTCGTGGAGTAATGGGGCAAAGAACATAAATACATACATACGGTGCTTGTATGATTTTTACGAACGATCGATAAAGAAAATGGACTCGATATACGCTTGCGGTTACAAGCTGCGAAAACATATTGCCGTAATAAGGTGAAAAAACTGTTCCTCTAAGTTACGGTCCAAGAAGATCGAGGTATTGCATATTCTTACAAGACAAATTTATCATATTTGTTGCAGCGTATCGTTGGCTTAGTGGGAAAAATCGGAAAAAATCAGAGGACGCTTGATATCGTAAGAAACTTCAGATATTTTTGGTATTTATTTTAAATTAAGACAAATTTTGTATTTTGTCAATATTACTAAGTTGAATTTTACTTCAATAATAGATCAAGAATAATCAAATCATTAGTGATCAAATATTTTTGTTTTGCAGATAGTTCCATTTAGGTTCGAGATCAATATTTAATCAATTATCAATAGGAAATTAATATCGAGTAAGAATATACATGGTTGATAAATTATGGAATATGAACTTTGTCAACTGTTCCCACTAAGCCTATGATATGATAATTTTTGATACAGCATTTTTATGATTTCATGCAAGATTTTACAAAATTGTATGTAAGAATTACTTGCATTACTCTGTTAATAATATTTATAGACCATGTTTTTTATTTTATTATTATTACTATTATTATTATTATAATTATCATTATCATCATCACCATCATTATCATTATGATGATGATTGTTATTATCATTATGATTATTATTATTTTTATTATTATTATTATTATTATTATTATTATTATTATTATTATTATTATTATTATTATTATTATTATTATTATTATTATTATTATTATTATTATTATTATTAT